AGCAGGTACTATCTGATTTATTGAGCATGACAATTTATAGGACTTCGTATAGAGTCATACACAAGATGGTAATGGGTGCTCACAAAATACCTCTTACCGCATTGGCTCTCCACTTAGAGGAACCTCCTTGGGATAATACTCTTTACAACATGCATAAAACGGTCAACCATTTTCAAAGATGTTTTCAAATGAACAACCATAGTATCAAACTGGACCAGCAGATATGAATATTGGTGGAGAGAGGATAAAGCGGTGAGAGACAAAGCAAGCAAAACCTTTCATTCTCGATCGTCGAAATGCTTTCTGCGGTACGATCACCTTGTCGTCGAGTAGCGACAAGATCAATTTTACAACCAAGAAGTTTTGCAACAGCAGTCGATGTCGGTGGTATCAAGGTCGCTGCGGTAGACAATGGACAACCATCCGCTTCGATAACTTTTCTCGTCAAAGCTGGTCCAAGACATGAATCCAAAACCGGCATTGCACATATTTTGAAAAACTATGCTTTCAAAGTATGTGTGCTTTTTCTCTGATTCACGCCCCCTACTGTTGGCTAACATGTGTTATCTTCCAACAGAACACTTCGGATCGTTCCGCGTTAAGAATTGCTAGAGAAACCGAATTATATGGTGGTGTTCTTACATCCACACTGGGACGAGAGCACCTAGCTCTCACCGCCGAATTTTTGAAGGGTGACGAGTGAGCTATCGTTTTCACCTGCCGAGCGCCCCTACGTATGCTAATTTATTTTGGGGGCTTAAAGGGCATATTTTGTGGACGTTCTCTCAGCCGTATTAAAGGAGACTCGCTTTACTCCTCACGAATTCCATGAAAGTGTTCTCCCCAGTGTCCAGGCAGAAACTCAAGAGGCGACTCACAACCCCGCTATCACTGCTCTCGACATTGCACACGCTTTGGCCTTCCGTAAAGGGCTTGGATCCTCCCTATTTGCCTCCGCAGCTGGCCCCCACATCAACTCTGAAGATGTGAAGACCTTTGCCTCTTCCGCATTCGCCAAATCCAACATTTCGGTAATCGGAACCGGTGTGGACCCTTCGACTCTCGGAAAACTCGTTGAAAAGAGTCTATCGTCTCTTCCTTCTGGCTCCAGTGCTGCATCCTCTTCTGCCAAATACTATGGTGGTGAAAGCCGCGCCCTCCTCGAGACCCATGGAGTCCAGACCATCTTCATCGGATACGGTGCAACTGGCCCAGTCACCCCCGAGTTGTCGGTTCTCGCCGCTCACTTGTCTGCAACTCCTGCCGTCAAATGGTCCGAGAGCGAGCCTTCCGCTTTCCCTGGACTACCCCAGGAGGCTACCGTCCAAACTGTCCTTCTCCCTTATACCGATGCCACCTTGTTCGGCTTCGTCATTCAAGCACCCACCTCCGAAGCTGTCACAAAGGCCGGAAAGGCTGTCGTCGCAGGAGTCAAGGCTACAGCGGGTGGCTCGCTCAAGAACGAAGTCCTCAAGAAGGCCGTGGCAAAGGCCAAGTTTACCGCGGCTACCGCTCTGGATACGAGACAAGGATTTGTAGATGCTGTTTCTCTGCAATTGGCGACAGGCGCAAAGGCGACAGTCGAATCCACCTTTGCTGGTATCGAAAAAGTTTCGACTCAAGCTGCCTCCTCTGTAAGTAACCAATCAATAGTTGGTACTAAATAACTAACGAATGGTTTATAGGCTCTGTCGGCCCTCACAAAATCAAAGCCCGTCTTTGTCGCCGTCGGGGACGTCCAGTCATTGCCATATGCTGATGAAATTGGATTATGATCACTGAAGAGTTATGGTGTAACTTAATCTAAGATTACAGCTTGTGCAATATGAGTCTCTTTTTCTTCTGACTTGGCTCTTGCGTAGGATGAATCAAAGGTTGAGATACACGCCAAATCACCAACATACGGATGATAGCAACTTGTTCAAGGATTACCCGACAGCTGCCGATGCTCGGGGCTCCTTGCTCCTTCGCTTTCTCATCACACCGTCGGTATGGCCATGTCCCGAGCCAGATGAAGATGGTCTGGACTCCATGGGTCTCGAGGAGGGCGCGGCTTTCACCACCATAGTATTT